TTTGTGACGTGAGATTTTTGCGTATCGGGTAATTTAATGGAAAGATTAAGTCGGTATAAAGCAATATTGCCTATTGACAGTATTGTCGTATTTGCCAACTAGTAGTGAGTTTAAGATGTGCCAAATCTATCACTGTACGACGCGGGCGTGAAGAAAAACTGGACCTATTCCAACTTGCAGTTTCCGCACACAAGGAAAAAATTATGGTCGCCAGTTGATAAACAAAGTCCAGGGACACAAGTGAAGCAAAATAAAACTGGATTACAAATATTAGCAACAATTTTCATGTCACGTTCGCGTCGTAGATTTGATACATCTTCTCGCTAATATTTCAGTCCAAGATAACCGGTTTGCAGCGTGGCAGTTTCTTGATAAAACAACAGCACAAAATGTTTCTTTAAACTGCCTAAAATAAACAAAAAATCTCCTCGACGTTTCTCCTCGACGTTTCGGTTACCTATGGGCCTTCGTCAGGAGAGGGGGGTGCATGTCCTAAGACCCATAGGTCGAAACGTCGAAAAGATTTTTTGTCTAGTATTTCAATCTACAATATTTATAAAGTTGACAGCAAGTACCGTCGTTGGAAGCTAAACGCTCCAATTGGAAACGTTACAAAGTTTATGTCAGTTAGATCAAATTTGATGTCACATTTATAACGTTTCCAATTAAACTTAGTTGCAAATGGAGGTATTTGGAAATTGCAACACAGTCGTACAGAATAAAGACAGACAGAAGGCCGATTTCCTCGTTTTTGCTATGATTTTGGCGTAACCGTTATTCGTCATAAAAATGCTAACGCCATGGTCCTAGTTAGGCTTAGACACAAGATGCTCGACAACTTTATTTGGCTACTTTTTTGGCCCATTATAGGCTTAAACACAAGACGTTCGACAACGTTTTAGAAACTTTTGACACTCTACTCACTGTATCTTGTGATTTTTGTTCTTTTCTGGAGTTATTTTAGTACTATACTTCCAGTAATTCAAGGTCAAGCATCTTGTGTCTAAGCCTAGTCCTAGCCAGTGCGCGCTTGAAAGGCATTTCCCCCAGGAAATATTAAAAATGGCAGACATCCAGGGGGGATGCCTCTCAAAAGCGCACTGGCTAGGACCATGGCGTCAGCATTTTGATGATGAATCATGGCGTGGCAGCGGTTACGTTTTTTTGGTTCAGTCTGCCTTCTGTCTGCCTTCATTCTGTGGCAGTGGTGTACGTCACCTAATGTAAAGCTGAAAGAAATATCTGTCATTACATCTCAAGAACTGTTTCAGCATTCGTCGTGGAAGAGCATAAAACATATCCTTATGCAAGATAACGTTTCAGTGATGTCTTTTCTTCCCAAAGGGCATGGGCAGGATAGTTGTCTTGCACCCAAAACAACATAACACATGAACAGCCTTTTGGAATCGGATGTCCATGAATAGTTGGCAGATCAATGATAGTGCCAATTGCCACAACATTTCCTTCAGCGTATAAGGCAACAGCATCTATTAAATAATACAAGAACTTAATAATATAAAGTTTCAGGTCTTTAAGTAGTGATAAAAAAGACGGTTAGTGCGTGAGGAGATTAAGAAGAAAAAAATGTGGGACAACAAAAGCTGCGTGTAGAAAAACCCAAAAAAACCCAAAACACTTGCGTGCTTCAGTGGTATACCTGATGGCATATCCATAGATGAAGTTAAGGTTGTGGTATAAGATTAGTTGACAAGACGACGAAGGAACAGTAGATACTGAAGTGGTGGTTGATACTGGAGGGATAATAGTAGTTGTTTGAGAAAGGAGGTGGGTATCTTGATAGAGACGCTGGATTTTGGAAGAACGGTGGATGTTAGAGAAGGAATGGTGGGTGTTGGAGGAGGAATTGTGGATGTTGGAGGAGGAATTGTGGATGTTGGAAGAGGAATTGTGGATGTTGGAGGAGGAATTGTGGATGTTGGAGGAGGAATTGATGTTGGAGGAGGAATTGTGGATGTTGGAGGAAGAACGGTGATGTTGGAGAAGGAATGGTGGGTGTTGGAGGAGGAATTGTGGATGTTGGAGGAGGAATTGTGGATGTTGGAGGAGGAATTGTGGATGTTGGAGGAAGAACGGTGGATGTTGGAGAAGGAATGTGGTGTTGGAGGAGGAATTGTGGATGTTGGAGGAGGAATTGTGGATGTTGGAGGAGGAATGGTGGATGTTGGAGGAGGAATTGTGGATGTTGGAGGAGGAATTGTAGATGTTGGAGGAGGAGGTGGATGTTGGCAAAGGAATAGTGGATGTTGGAGGAGGAATTGTGGATGTTGGAGGAGGAATGGTGGATGTAAAAGGAGAGACAGTGGATGTTGGAGGAATAGTGGATGTTGGGGGAGAAACGGTGGATATCGGAGGAGAGGCTATTTGAGGAGACAAACTAGATATCGAAAGAGGGACAGTGGATCCTGATAAATGGACAGTTGATGGTGGATCTGACTTGAATGTTTTCTTCTCTACCAAAATAAAAAGTAACAAAGTTAATTAGTTAAGATAAATATTACAAAAATAATAAAAAGAATAACGAAAACATACCATTAACGTACGAACGGAAGACATCCAAAACAGCTTTTCCAGTCAGATATTGATTTTCTTCCGTTCCAATAAAGCTCTGTGCAAGTCCAGCAGTTCCAAACGTCACGAAACTGTTACCACGTACATGTTCTGGCCAAAAACAACAATATCCAACCATGACGACATTTTAGAATTTTTGCCTAAATGATTAAACAATAATATTCGAGTCCTAAAAAGATCAAATTGTACATGCTATGATATATATGAAATCATAAGTAAGCTAGAAAAAACTTTATAGAAAGAGAGACCCATTATGGTAAAGCTACATATTATAGTCTATTGTATTATACAAAATAAACACAAGTCTGAAATCTAGAAAAAGCACTAGTCCAGCAAGATACATTGATAGAAAATCATTCTGGAAATAATCAGGAGAGAACTGTCTGTAAACCGGGTGTGCCAAAAAAACTTTACTTGTTTGAATTCTAATAATTTGCAAACTATAAAAGCTATTCAACCAGAATAAACTCTATTGCATGCAGAAAGGGCTAACATAGATTTATATATATATATATATATATATATATATATATATATATATATATATATATATATATAATATATATATATATATATATAGCATGTTCCTTGTTAGTTCGTTGCAATATTGACTGTGCTATTTAATAATTTTAAATTGCATAACATGGTAAGTTTACTTGTAAAATATTTATTCTTTATAAAATGCACCCATATATGCACAATAAAGACCATTTTAAATCTATTTCTTTGTTATCGGAAGTATATCCTTTTTATGCCATATGAAATCAAACAAATAAACAAACAGTGACTATACTTCTATTAGACACTCAAGGTCTGTTATATTGTACAAACACAAACATAGTCTATATGGCAGAAAAAGAAGAGACATCCAGGCATGCCGGAATATCAATAATTGGGGGGGGCAGATATTCATATATGCGAGTTCTGCATTATTGATTTCTTTTGAAATCAATTGTTTTTACGGTCTGTGAACTTGAATATATGAATACCTGCCCCCACCCCCAATTATCGATATTCCTTCGTCCCTGGAGACATCTAATGTTTTTAGGCTATAATTAGGATGATAAAGTTTAAACATTGTCTGTCAGATTAGTGCAAAGCACCGCAATCAACCAAAAATATTCAAATTTACTGTAACATTTTTTATAACTGACAGACATCAAAAAATATTTTACTTTCTGGGACCACAAAAGAACATTAGGTTCTTTTGTGAATAATCACCAAATCAACAGTAACAAATTGTTAAACTTAATGTAATGCCACATTTAACAGAAAAATCTTAATTAGGTATGTATAAATAAAATTAATTAATTTAGATTATTGATCTGGTGTCCGATCTTAGCTTGAAATGCATTTGCCATACAACATTAATATTTTTTCTGTTTTGAGGGAATATTCTGATGTAACTGAAAACATTATCTCCTATGATGATGTTGTTAACGATGAAGCTTAGGTACTGTATCCAAGCACTTCCAAGGTACATTATGGCAGTGGCATAACTTTACTTTTTTAACCCATTAAGTGGCAATGCACCCCAGTGCGCCCTACTTGTTTTTTTACTTGTCTAACGCCAGATGATTTTACTTGTCAAGGGGAAAGCTCTGCCACTTAATGGGTTAATTGGTCGCCCTGAATAAAACTCACTTCCCATCAGACAATGGTTACTGAGATACCTAGGTAGGGGTATAAAATAAGGGGACGAAGTAACTTCAGAATACCAAGCCACTTTAACCCCTCCTTAATCCATATACTGCCTCAAATCCAGCTTGGGCTAAAAAAAATGTGAATCAAGTACATGCAACTTGATTCAACAATAAAAATTTATCTGACAATGAAAACAAGCCAGAAACTATGCAAACAAAGCTGCCAATGTCTTATGTTAACGAATTAGGTGGCAATGCACACTGCTTTAAAGTTTACTCTAGACCATTTCACACTGGCAAGGTACAGTACTGCCAGTAAATCACATAGGATTTCTGTTTCCCGACTATTTTGGTGTTACTATTGTTACAATTTAAAAAAGCAACAACTCAGTATTTTGCACAAAAATTCAAAACATAATTTAGTATTTCATGTTATTCATTTCTGTAATTTTTGCTGTAAAATTGTATGAAATGTAACTGCTTGCATATATATTTCACGGATTTTCGTTTATAACTTGCTTTATAAAACATTAAAAAGCGAGTAGAAACCTTTTGCATATATATTCAACTATTAGCTTACTTAGCTAAGCTGTACTTTCCTTCTTACCCGTTTCTTTAGCAAATTGAATTGCTTTGTTGGGTTTGTTTTACCCATATTTAATATCCGGGCATCTTCTTCGTTGTCTTCGTTTTGCTCGATGTCAACGACTATGCTCTCCTTGCAGATACGGCATCTCTTTGCTGCTGGACCATTGTCGTTGTTGCATTTGCCACATCGTTTCGGGCGCCCAGCCTACAAATTTTTAATTCATTGATATTGTTGTTTCGTATATGCAAATGCCTTCGGTCATTTCAGTCGTACAAATATAAACATATGCACTTTGAAGGCGGACTATTTCTATAAAAATTTATAAATCATACCATATCAGCTTTGTTCAGAGTAACTCCAAGCACTTTCGAAGGCCAAAAAAGTAAAGAAAGATCCTTAAAGATCAAGTAATCGACAGGAAAGGAGAACCAACGTGAACAACATGTTACCCGCGTAAACCCAAAAAACGCCGCGTAATTCTATATCGAATACACGTAATTATTATTGGTCCTGGCAGGGTCCTGGGTTCTAGCTAGCGACTAACGTGCACCTAGCTTACCCATTATAGGTAATCTAAGAGCATTTGACAATTACCTATTATAGGTAATCTACGACTGAGGATGTGTTGTGTATTGCCTATATCAAAGCAAGCACGAAAAAACCTTTCTTATAATGACGTCAAACGCGAAAAGTTTGATGTTACACGAAATTTGATTGGCTCCACAAAACTAACAAGCCAATGAGATTTCGCCTAGCATCAGACTTTCCACGTTTGACGTAATTATGAAAAAGATCTATTACAAAGAATGGCAACGCTACCGTGGGACGAAAATTTATGCATATATACGTCCTTAGGAAGACCCCAGAATGTTGTACACATTTTTGCACTCCTTCCAGGAAGACGTATCCCACAATGTTGCACACCTTTGCACTTCTCTAGAAGACCCCAGAATGTTTACACATTTTTGCACTCATCAGGAAGACACCAGAAAAAAACAAAATGATTTTTTGCCGCGTTAAATAATTCTTCGCCTAATTAAGTCTCGGTATACATATCACCAAACACCCTTGATTTTGTTGTTGGTTTTTTTAGGTATATTCACCTTGTCTTAGTAACACTTTTTAAAATAAAACAAATCTTTCTATTATCTTAAGAAATATTTTCTTGAGAAATAAGAAATTTCGGATATTAAACTACATAACACATTATTCCGTGGTGTTTATCTAAAAATTAATTTGATATATATCTGCTGATATTAGTATTTCATTCTTTGACCATGACCTTGGGCAACTGCAGTTATTCGTTTGTCCATACTGTCGATTATTTTTTCTATCTCATCCAACTAAAGTTCTGCATAGTTTCGCTAACGCGCAAAGAAAACTCTTCAATATTCTCCTTCGTAATTTTTTTTCTCTATGACTTTCAAGGTGGGGTAAGGGATTATACTCTATGGGGAGGTGGGGGATTATACTCTCTGGGGATGTAAGGGACTATACTCTCTCAGGAGGTGGGGGATTATACTCTCTGGGGAGGTAAGGGGGAATTTGTAGACAAAGACTTTCATCATCAAAAAAATTGTCAGTAAGATTTTAACCAGCTTTATATCAAAAATTAGTACAATAATTCCAAAAATATCAATAAAATGCAGTATTTAATGCTATTTACACAGAAGAACTTAAGATAACTTTAGGAAACAGTTGAAAAGTTCTCTTCTTAATCACATTCATATGGTCTCTCTCTCCAGTGTGTGTTCTTTGATGGCTAAACAAATTACTACCATGTGAAAATCTCTTCTTACAAATATCACATTCATAAGTTTTGCTCCAGTGTGCGTTCTTTGATGTGTTAACCAAATCACTACCATGTGAAATTCCCAATGACATTTTCTGTACTATTCTAGCAAACAAAGCATCTAGCAAATTTGCACAACCACTAAAATGTGAGTTTAGATGCATTCCACAATATAACTTGTTATTCAAAAGTAATAAAGTCAAGTTTACAGTTGATGTGGTTTTTGCACCAATATAAATATCATGCAGAGAAAACGGCCATGTTTCATTGAAACAAAAGCTTCCAATGTCTGCAATTTCCAAAGGTGAAAATCTGCCAAAACATTCCCTTTGATACTTATGCAGCCATATCAAATCTAAGTGTTTCTTTTTCCTTATGACTGACTGCAACAGATCCTCATAATATCTAACACTTGATCCAAAATGCCTTATTTTTTTCTTTTGATCAGATAATAACTGAAGTTGCAAAGATGAGCTGCAATTGCTAATGATATATGCCTGTGACAAATCAGTTTCCATCAACGGTCGATAGTCTACAACTATAGATATTGGTTTTTTATGACATAAAGCTTTACTACTACTGACACGACCAGACATAACACTGGACCATGCTGCAATGAATAATGCTGTCAAAGAACAGTTAAATTTGCTACAATATCCTAGCAGCCGAGCAGTATCTTCCTCTGATAGACTTCTCATAACTATTAAAGGCTTAGATCGTAATTTGCATTGGCTATCTTTCCGCTGGCTAGAAACCCGACTACAAGCATAACCCATGATGATTTCTTTTAACAATGAAAATATCCTCAATAAAAATGGCTGTCTTAAGTAATCTTCCGTTGGGACAGGTAAATGTGATGTTCTTGTGGTATTAATATGAATGTCACAGTTAACAAGTTGACATAACGTGGTGATAAATTCCTGCGTGAACTTTACGATGGAGATCCGATCAATGATAACAGGATCAAATAGAAACAACAAAGTATTAATGTACATTTTGTCTCTTGGCTCATATTGTTCTCGTAGAACAATGGCATTCCAAAAGAGTTCAACATCTGATCTTTCATTATTTACCATTAATTCTTCTTCTAGCACCAGTTTCCAATTACTTGTATTCACAAATCTTAGTTCTGGATCAAATGTTTCTTCATGATTGACAATAAATTCCCTTTTTATACAAGAAATATGAGCATTGTAATAGCTTTTAGACCTGGCTTGAAGGACAGGATACTTTTTAGCTAACAAAAGTAGACTGTTTTTTATAGTTGCGACTGAGAGTGATCAGAGACTTGAACGATACAACAGCGTATATCCTATTTCTGTATCTGGAGCTTAATTCAGCTTGATAAGTTTCATAAGACCCCATATCTCTCCGCAAATCATGTTTCTTAACATTCTTGACAAATGAACTTTGAAGATATTTTTGCTCATTCTTGAATACAACAGAGTACGATCTTGATACAACACGCAGAATAAGGTAAATTGAAAACGAAAAAACAGTAAAACTAGCAAAACTGTCCAAAACGTAGTTCATTGCCCATTCAAATTGACTGGAAAATACAAATTATGCTAAAATTTATTATGTTGTTATATTATATTAAATATGTCAGTACAAAACTCATTATGATAAATGATGTTAAAACTAAATGATGTTATATTATGTTGAAATTACGTATTACAAGATATACTGAAACGGCATGAAATCAGGGATGAAATCTTACCTCGGCTTCATTTGTAGATGCTACAAAGGCTTGAAACTTTTCCCTTATGTTGCACGCATTTCTTCGCCAAAGCCTATACATTGCTTTACGCGTTTTATCCGTGTTTCCGTATCCACATTTAATGGCCACTTTCCCCAAAATCCGTGAGGCTTTCGCCATCCTTCAGTCCTGTCACCCTCGCACTGCACCATCGCTAAAATTAACTTATCTAATTGTCTTTCAAATTCTTTTTTTTGAAAACCTGAGCCAAAAAAATAAGAACTATTATAGAAAACCCACTGTGTCTGTTGTCTATTGAATATTAATACGAATTGGATATTAATATTGGTCTATCCATAATATTGGATATAAGTATAACAAAGTATTTAACATTCTCATACTTACCATTTTATGGCACAGTGTGATACTGTAGAGTGTATTAGCTAAACTTGCTTCAAACGAAGAAAAAAACAGTAGACTGTCTAATCAAACGAATAGGGAATAACAGCAGCCTCGTACCCAGGCGCTTTAGTAATAAAATATCTAATGTTGCATTCAGTTATTGTATCCACCCCAAGCACCCCCACGCGTTCGCCTTTATTCAACTGACCTCTATACAATAACTGAATGCAAACATTATATATTATTATTAAAGCGCCTGGGTACGAGGCTGGAATTATTGGCTTTAAGACGGGGTGTAAAGAATTGAAGTGAATTCAATTCATTTCATAACACATGATTAGTCATTTTTGACGTGCCTGTCCTGCGTCATCCGATCAACAATTTCGCAGTGCGAATTCGATCTTTCCTGCTCATTGCATGCGTGAGTTCAGTTATTGAGGCGTCACAATTTGTGTTCATAACCACAGAAATAACCACGACTCATTCTCATACCCAGAGCCCTTCTTAGTTACGCGCCGTCTGTCTAAAGCAATATGGCGGACAATGCCAGTTCAAGGGTGAATATTGACAACATTAAAGTAAAGGTTTTGGGAGAAAAGAAAGGGAGATACGATTTGGATAGTTTGCCAAGGCTAAAATACAAAAAAAGAGATAAACCCAAGTATAAGAGAAGAACGAAAGCAAAAGTCGTTTTAAATTTATACAGTGAACTGAGTGAAGTAAACGAACCCAGCGATTTAGATGTTGAGACTACTGAAAAGGAAGCTATTGTAGCAGGTTGTGATCAAAATATTGACAAAATCGTCCGTGACCACCAAAATACCTATGCTGATGTTACCGACACGCTTGAGGTATTAATTACAACGAGTACTTCACAAACACGTAGTATTTACATGTACAAATGTTCAGCAAACTCCAGGGCAGGCTATATTATCGATCACAAATCAAATAATCAATCCCACATTGCAGAGTTGGCCAACGCCGCACCCGAGATTTTTGATGAGGAAAATTTTAGTGCACTTAGGGTGTGCTTGATAGCAATTTTGATACTTTAATCAGCCTAAAAAACTCTTATTTCCATTGCATTTAACATTTTCAAAGTGTCTATATTACTGCCAGTCGGTCAGTAGTTTTGTGCTTCAAAATTTTTTCACTATTTGATTCATTTTTACGAATGCTTTTAGCGACGGTTGGTTCTCGTGGCGTAGTGGTCATTGTGCTTGCTTCGCATGCGTATGGTCTGGGTTTGAACCCTGTTCAGATATTTTTATTAAGAAAATTTTCAAACTATTTTTTCTGAGTGAATTTCTCATTCTAAACTTAGGTTAGCTTTAGGGTTAGATTTATGGTTAGGGTTAAAATTTGGGATTGGTTTGGGGCTTGTTTTATACAAAAAAGTTCAATATTATAGACTGCCGGTCACTTAGTTTCTTCAAAACATTGTCCAGCTGCCGGTCATATAGACACTTCGTAACATGTTCCCCCTCACTTTACCAGACTGCAAGTTTTATTTTCTTGCAGGAAATTTTAGGGTTATGTTTTGCAACTACGCAGAAATTATAGGAGAACGTACTGAATAAATGAAAAATTATTACATATTGGTACCCAATGTTGGGGAAATACAGTATATTTACCATGTTATTGAAAATTTTTTTAATGCATGTGGTTCTTTATTCTTTCATAAGGATATTTATTAAATATTTTTATAGGATATCACTTCAAGTGATTTATTACACTACTCTCAACCCATGGATACTTCACAAGCAGTTGTTTGTCAAATAAGTCACCAGGATACTTATGTTGTTGAAGTATGTAGATCAAATGCTTTACTACCTGTCAATACAATGCTAACTGCTTTTGTACTTCAAGACTATGATGAGTTATTAAGACAGTTAAAGGTACTGTATTATATTATATAATAATATATATAATATATAAGCAATTGTTGTACAATTGGTTCTTTAGTTAAATGCCTAAAACAGATAAGAAAACATCTCAACATTTTGACCTAAGGGCCTTCGTGTAGGAACTAGTGTGGAAAAGCTGTCATCAATCTATAACATAAACTTGATGTATGATTAAGTTGATTTCCTTACAGTAATATCGTGAAAAGAGGTGCCAGACAAAAGATGTTTGCATGCATTTTTTTTAGCCTGTGTGCTCTTTCTGGAAAAAATGGGGTAAAATGGGCAAATCTTCTATAGCATGATTGTGACGTTAATTATATTTCTCTATTTCTAGAGTAAAGATTTTCTTTTAATTCGGAGAAGTTTGCACCATTTCATCAATGGAACTGTGAATTGGGTGTATCAATGTTCATGTAATCCTGCCAGGAGTAAAATAATAAACTCACTTCACATCAGTATTAAAGAACATTACAATCAACGTAAGTGCTTATTTGGTCTGACGTGATTGAAAGTGACCTGAAATTGACTCTAAATACCCTTACAACTTAGTGCCACTTATTAGTATGTAGTTATGAAGTTGTTTGGGTGAAGTGAAAGTTTGATCTCAGGTTTGAACTTCAAACACATCTATTAAATGTTTCATTGGCATGGATTAGTGAAATATAATTTACTTTTTGAAGAGCTCACTTGTTGAACGAATATGAGCAAATAGTTCAGATCCAGGGAATAAAATTATGACAAACCATTATAAACTCTTAACTTTTATCCTATTCAAATATACTCTCATTAAAACATTAATTATTAGCATATACTTTAGGAACTATTAACCATTTTTTCTTAATTTACTAAATGATAGAACTATTGGCTGACAATCCAGCATGTGTACATTGCTTGGTGACTGAGCGTATTTTAGACAGCCTTGAATGTTTTAATGGCAGTCTTCCATTTCCTATTGATCCAGAAGGTACAGTATATATATAAATATATATATAAAATTATGTTTAAATGTGGCATTGTTAAAGCTAATTCTAGCATATCTATTTTTTAACATTAACTCTGTTTAGAAAGTGACCCTTCATCAATGGACCATGACTATCTTGTGAGTATGGCTTAAATTTCATGCAAATTTACTTATTAAGGCTTTCATTGTTGAGAATTATTGATACAGCTTTGCTAGCATTTTAAATTGGCCTTAACTGGTCACATAATTTTGCTGTTTTGCTAGGTGTCCTTTGTCTATAAATGCTTTTTATTTCGTTCGTCAGGAACATTACCAGTCTTACAACGTTTTCCATTTGCCGTCAGTTGAAGTAGTTTGCGTATATGCTGAGCGTGATTACGGGTTTGTTGGCATAGATCATAAGGGTTTCAAGTGCTCCACATGCAATTATGATACACATGCTTGTAGTCACATCAAATTTCTGGAAGAAAAACTCAGTCAGGATGATGTTGATTTGCCTGACATTGTGTATGAAATGTATCACCAAGCAAAAAAGCAGCGGAAAGTTAATTGGAAACCTTATTGCCTATCCGATAAATCCATACAGTTCCAGCCACCAGTACACCTTCAACAGATATTTGGTAGTTCGTTTTACCAATCCCTACCACAGGAAAATGGAACATTGCATGTTGTCCCACGTAGTAGCGGAGTATGTGAAAGTTGCGGTTCCTACTGGAGTTTGCAAAACCCTGTCGAAGAAAATTGGATAGAGAAACTTCTTCTCCTTTATACAATGAATAAAGTTTATCCGTGCACCAGTATGTATGCTCCCACCCTACTTCACTTTTGTTTGCATACACTGTACATGTATGTTTGTATGTTTGTATGTTTGTATGTTTATTGTATTCAAATCATTTCCGAAGAGAGTGTTTTACGCAAACTTAAGTAGCCAACATGCAACGGCTCTTTTGTTGGTGTAAATTTTATTTTTTAAAATCTTTGGCTTAAATTTCATGCAAATCTACTTATCAAGGCTTTCAGGGTTGATAAATTATTGATACAGTTACTGTATGCTACACAATTAATCAGCTATTATTCAAAGGCTTTGAGACGTTGGGGGGGGGGGCATTTGCCCCAATTCTCCTGCTTTCCCTTGTGTTCGCCGCTGGTGTTTGAAAAGCTATACTATGCATGGGTTTTCAATGTATTTGCCATACCGGCGTTTCTCTTTGTTTCAGTATTTTATTCAAGATGTTCAAATGATGATTGTGAGAACAAATTGATGGTTGGTGGTGAAGAAATTGGAGTCATCAACATGAAAAATTATTTGATTGCCCACGAAGTTCTTAGAGACTATATGTATCACTTCTTGTATGCAAGGTTTGCCGACATACTATACAGTAACGATGCTGTTCAATGTTCCTCTTATCTAAATGAAATGACTGCATTTTGTTAACGTGATCAAATAAATCCGTTGTGTTTCATTTTTTTGCTACTGCTTTAGTTGTAGTTTGTACGCCTATTTTGAAGTGTGGACCTCTCGGATGCAGGATGCTGATCCATCTCTTTGTGAATACCCATCATATAACCAACTACGTTATGCTTGGTATTCATATCTGAAGTTGTTGGACATTGATTACTCCGATGGGAGTTGTTGCCCAGTGTGTGGTCCTACGCCTGAAACAGTTGTGTGTGATGCCACCACAGTTTCGTTTCGACGTAAGATGGTACTACAAGAGAACATTGTCAACCCAACTGCCGAAAACATACACGAAGGAAGATAAGTATTTTATCTTTCACTTACACGTAGATAAAGGTAAATTTTAAAAAGAAAAAAATGTTTCAAAATGGTTCCACTGTAGGAAATAACTTTAAAATCTACGATAAAACGTGGGACGAAACGTTTAAGTTCTTTTTTATAATTTAATGTGGTAGAATTGTCTACAGTGCTCGTGCTTTAAATAATTTACCGAAACTGACATCTACGATTTATATTTGCACATTTTAATACCTCGACGAGCTACTCTTGCGTGTATGTCTTAAAACGTTTACGCGCAGTTTTGTTATATCGTGATTCCTATTTCATACGGTCATCCTTTATTTCTGTGTAGAAAATAGAACAATACTGTATGAAGTAGCATAAAAATTTTATATTTATTCATATAATTTTTTTTACCTTCTATACTAGTTACAGAAGCCGTGTAATGATACCGACCAAAGCGTGCCGAATGCTTCTTCATCAGTTTATTTCTAGAGGCCAATTATCGACGACTGAAATGGAGAGCCTTCGTGAAATGTTACTTACCGCCTGTCCGTCTATTATTCCGTTTTTGGATTGGTTGACACGTGCTTATGACGATGTCAGTGAATCTCCACGTTCAGTTAAGATTCTTGTTAAGGCATTTGCCGCGAGTTCATCTGTATGTGGTTTTGTTCATCCATCTGAGACACTTCACACATTGTTGAACGAGATCGTTGGAGGACTCATTATCTCGCAGCATCCAAGCAAATTAGAATTACTGCAAGAAGAGTGCCCGTTGCTGTTCAATGCCTTTTCAGATATTGAGGAATCAACCTTCCCTAGAAGTTGGTACCCTATTTTAACGGATCTGATTAAGAAATCCTCGGAGCCATTTTCCACTGCGTCTTCATCATCACCACCACCTGTTTCTTCGGAACAACCATCAGGGCATCCACAAGAAATCGCATTCTTCCCTAATCTTCCAATTATTCGATCCAGAGGAGTGTATGCAGCAGATAAATACAGGAGAAGAGAGGATATCTGCACCAAGAATCATCCATCACATTCTTTGTTTTTACCTGGACTTTTCACCATTTTCTGTCCACATGGTAAATCATATAATTTTGTATTGCGTATTTTAACATTAAAACAACTTACTACTGTAGTAAGTGTGTATATAGTTGTGTAGATACATTTACGTACAATTTATCCTCTTTTTTTATTATTTCAGGAATAAACTATGGATTTGAAGTCATGCAAACCCGAGAATCTCCAAATGTTCCTTTCACGATATTTCGTACTCGTTTCCAGAATGGTTAGTCTTATCCAAATTAGTGATCCAAAAATCCGGGTTATAACAGAAAGTAATATGAGGAAGCAATCACGACAAACACCCTGACAAATAGGTCTTTAATTTTTAGCACCCAAAGTTATTGTGTACGACAACGCCTGCAATCTACACAGCTATTGCCTCAACAGGGACCCAGATTACTTCAAAAAAACAAAGTTTTTGGTCGATCGTTTTCACTGGAAGAATCATCGCGGTAAAATATTTTCAATTTATACGGTGTTTTCACATGGGTAGGCATTACTGAACACAAGTATAATTTTAAATATTTATTACGTCGCAGGTTGCTCTGAAGGATACAATATTGGTTCTTACCCTCAGTATGCAATGCTGAACAGTGAAGTGAATGAACAGGCGAACGCAACCTTAAAGCGTCTTCGAAATCAGCTGTCTTACATGACGCAGGATAACTTTGTCAGTCATTGCAAATTTCATTTCTGGTTTAGAAACAACAAGCTATCCAACGCCTAATGTCAACCACGTAGTACGTATATTACGTGTCATTGAAACATCAACACTATCAATGATGATATATTGAAAGTTTTTCTCTGATAACTTTCATTTGTCTGAGGTTTTAAATGGTTAAGAAATGGTAGCATGGTTGCCGTGTACAGGTTCAATTCCTGTATGCCATTAACCTAAAGTAAGCATACAGTACATTCCACCATGCATAGGTTATCACTAAGCAGGTTATGACAAATCATGTAAAAATTTTCTCAATATTAAGCTTAACGAAAGGTCCCAATTGATGTCTATAACCTTATAATTCCATGCCTTGGTTATCATGTCAAAATTTTGTCAACATAACCACGTTTCTTCTTTTACAAAAGTTTAAGTCAAAATATCATACACCTGCAAAGGCTGCGATGGTTGATGTCTATAATCTTATATAACCATGCCTTGGTTATCATGTCAAAAATTTTGTCAACATAACCACGTTTCTTCTTTTTACAAAAGTTTAAGTCAGAAATATCATACACCTGCAAAGGCTGCGATGGTTGATGTCTATAATCTTATATAACCATGCCGTGGTTATCATGTCAAAAATTTTGTCAACATAACCACGTTTCTTCTTTTTACAAAAGTTTAAGTCAGAAATATCATACACCTGCAAAGGCTGCGATGGTTGATGTCTAATCTTATATAACCATGCCGTGGTTATCATGTCAAAAATTTTGTCAACATAACCACGTTTCTTCTTTTTACAAAAGTTTAAGTCAGAAATATCATACACCTGCAAAGGCTGCGATGGTTGATGTCTATAATCTTATATAACCATGCCGTGGTTATCATGTCAAAAATTTTGTCAACATAACCACGTTTCTTTTTTTACAAAAGTTTAAGTCAGAAATATCATACACCTGCAAAGGCTGCGATGGTTGATGTCTATAATCTTATATAACCATGCCGTGGTTATCATGTCAAAAATTTTGTCAACATAACCACGTTTCTTCTTTTTACAAAAGTTTAAGTCAGAAATATCATACACCTGCAAAGGCTGCGATGGTTGATGTCTATAATCTTATTAACCATGCCGTGGTTATCATGTCAAAAATTTTGTCAACATAACCACGTTTCTTCTTTTTACAAAAGTTTAAGTCAGAAATATCATACACCTGCAAAGGCTGCGATGGTTGATGTCTATAATCTTATATAACCATGCCGTGGTTATCATGTCAAAAATTTTGTCAACATAACCACGTTTCTTCTTTTTACAAAAGTTTAAGTCAGAAATATCATACACCTGCAAAGGCTGCGATGGTTGATGTCTATAATCTTATATAACCATGCCGTGGTTATCATGTCAAAAATTTTGTCAACATAACCACGTTATACATAGACATCAACCATCGCAGCCTTTGCAGGTGTATGATATTTCTGACTTAAACTTTTGTAAAAAGAAGAAACGTGGTTATGTTGACAAAATTTTTGACATGATAACCACGGCATGGTTATATAAGATTATAGACATCAACCATCGCAGCCTTTGCAGGTGTATGATATTTCTGACTTAAACTTTTGTAAAAAGAAGAAACGTGGTTATGTTGACAAAATTTTTGACATGATAACCAAGGCATGGAATTATAAGGTTATAGACATCAATAATTGGGACCTTTCGTTAAGCTTAATATTGAGAAAATTTTTACATGATTTGTCATAACCTGCTTAGTGATAACCTATGCATGGTGGAATGTACTGTATGCTTACTTTAGGTTAATGGCATACAGGAATTGAACCTGTACACGGCAACCATGCTACCATTTCTTAACCATTTAAAACCTCAGACAAATGAAAGTTATCAGAGAAAAACTTTCAATATATCATCATTGATAGTGTTGATGTTTCAATGACACGTAATATACGTACTACGTGGTTGACATTAGGCGTTGGATAGCTTTGTTTTCTAAACCAGAAATGAAATTTGCAATGACTGACAAAGTTATCCTGCGTCATGTAAGACAGCTGATTTCGAAGACGCTTTAAGGTTGCGTTCGCCTGTTCATTCACTTCACTGTTCAGCATTGCATACTGAGGGTAAGAACCAATATTGTATCCTTCAGAGCAACCTGCGACGTAATAAATATTTAAAATTATATTGTGTTCAGTAATGCCTACCCATGTGAAAACACCGTATAAATTGAAAATATTTTACCGCGATGATTCTTCCAGTGAAAACGATCGACCAAAAACTTTTTTTTTGAAGTAATCTGGGTCCCTGTTGAGGCAATAGCTGTGTAGATTGCAGGCGTTGTCGTACACAATAACTTTGGGTGCTAAAAATTAAAGACCTATTTGTCAGGGTGTTTGTCGTGATTGCTTCCTCATATTACTTTCTGTTATAACCCGGATTTTTGGATCACTAATTTGGATAAGACTAACCATTCTGGAAACGAGTACGAAATATCGTGAAAGGAACATTTGGAGATTCTCGGGTTTGCATGACTTCAAATCCATAGTTTATTCCTGAAATAATAAAAAAAGAGGATAAATTGTACGTAAATGTATCTACACAACTATATACACACTTACTACAGTAGTAAGTTGTTTTAATGTTAAAATACGCAATACAAAATTATATGATTTACCATGTGGACAGAAAATGGTGAAAAGTCCAGGTAAAAACAAAGAATGTGATGGATGATTCTTGGTGCAGATATCCTCTCTTCTCCTGTATTTATCTGCTGCATACACTCCTCTGGATCGAATAATTGGAAGATTAGGGAAGAATGCGATTTCTTGTGGATGCCCTGATGGTTGTTCCGAAGAAACAGGTGGTGGTGATGATGAAGACGCAGTGGAAAATGGCTCCGAGGATTTCTTAATCAGATCCGTTAAAATAGGGTACCAACTTCTAGGGAAGGTTGATTCCTCAATATCTGAAAAGGCATTGAACAGCAACGGGCACTCTTCTTGCAGTAATTCTAATTTGCTTGGATGCTGCGAGATAATGAGTCCTCCAACGATCTCGTTCAACAATGTGTGAAGTGTCTCAGATGGATGAACAAAACCACATACAGATGAACTCGCGGCAAATGCCTTAACAAGAATCTTAACTGAACGTGGAGATTCACTGACATCGTCATAAGCACGTGTCAACCAATCCAAAAACGGAATAATAGACGGACAGGCGGTAAGTAACATTTCACGAAGGCTCTCCATTTCAGTCGTCGATAATTGGCCTCTAGAAATAAACTGATGAAGAAGCATTCGGCACGCTTTGGTCGGTATCATTACACGGCTTCTGTAACTAGTATAGAAGGTAAAAAAAATTATATGAATAAATATAAAATTTTTATGCTACTTCATACAGTATTGTTCTATTTTCTACACAGAAATAAAGGATGACCGTATGAAATAGGAATCACGATATAACAAAACTGCGCGTAAACGTTTTAAGACATACACGCAAGAGTAGCTCGTCGAGGTATTAAAATGTGCAAATATAAATCGTAGATGTCAGTTTCGGTAAATTATTTAAAGCACGAGCACTGTAGACAATTCTACCACATTAAATTATAAAAAAGAACTTAAACGTTTCGTCCCACGTTTTATCGTAGATTTTAAAGTTATTTCCTACAGTGAACTGTATTTTTTGAAACCATTCTCATTTTTTCTTTTTAAAATTTACCTTTATCTACGTGTAAGTGAAAGATAAAATACTTATCTTCCTTCGTGTATGTTTTCGGCAGTTGGGTTGACAATGTTCTCTTGTAGTACCATCTTACGTCGAAACGAAACTGTGGTGGCATCACACACAACTGTTTCAGGCGTAGGACCACACACTGGGCAACAACTCCCATCGGAGTAATCAATGTCCAACAACTTCAGATATGAATACCAAGCATAACGTAGTTGGTTATATGATGGGTATTCACAAAGAGATGGATCAGCATCCTGCATCCGAGAGGTCCACACTTCAAAATAGGCGTACAAACTACAACTAAAGCAGTAGCAAAAAAATGAAACACAACGGATTTATTTGATCACGTTAACAAAATGCAGTCATTTCATTTAGATAAGAGGAACATTGAACAGCATCGTTACTGTATAGTATGTCGGCAAACCTTGCATACAAGAAGTGATACATATAGTCTCTAAGAACTTCGTGGGCAATCAAATAATTTTTCATGTTGATGACTCCAATTTCTTCACCACCAACCATCAATTTGTTCTCACAATCATCATTTGAACATCTTGAATAAAATACTGAAACAAAGAGAAACGCCGGTATGGCAAATACATTGAAAACCCATGCATAGTATAGCTTTTCAAACACCAGCGGCGAACACAAGGGAAAGCAGGAGAATTGGGGCAAATGCCCCCCCCCCCCAACGTCTCAAAGCCTTTGAATAATAGCTGATTAATTGTGTAGCATACAGTAACTGTATCAATAATTTATCAACCCTGAAAGCCTTGATAAGTAGATTTGCATGAAATTTAAGCCAAAGATTTTAAAAAATAAAATTTACACCAACAAAAGAGCCGTTGCATGTTGGCTACTTAAGTTTGCGTAAAACACTCTCTTCGGAAATGATTTGAATACAATAAACATACAAACATACAAACATAACATACATGTACAGTGTATGCAAACAAAAGTGAAGTAGGGTGGGAGCATACATACTGGTGCACGGATAAACTTTATTCATTGTATAAAGGAGAAGAAGTTTCTCTATCCAATTTTCTTCGACAGGGTTTTGCAAACTCCAGTGGAACCGCAACTTTCACATACTCCGCTACTACGTGGGACAACATGCAATGTTCCATTTTCCTGTGGTAGGGATTGGTAAAACGAACTACCAAATATCTGTTGAAGGTGTACTGGTGGCTGGAACTGTATGGATTTATCGGATAGGCAATAAGGTTTCCAATTAACTTTCCGCTGCTTTTTTGCTTGGTGATACATTTCATACACAATGTCAGGCAAATCAACATCATCCTGACTGAGTTTTTCTTCCAGAAATTTGATGTGACTACAAGCATGTGTATCATAATTGCATGTGGAGCACTTGAAACCCTTATGATCTATGCCAACAAACCCGTAATCACGCTCAGCATATACGCAAACTACTTCAACTGACGGCAAATGGAAAACGTTGTAAGACTGGTAATGTTCCTGACGAACGAAATAAAAAGCATTTATAGACAAAGGACACCTAGCAAAACAGCAAAATTATGTGACCAGTTAAGGCCAATTTAAAATGCTAGCAAAGCTGTATCAATAATTCTCAACAATGAAAGCCTTAATAAGTAAATTTGCATGAAATTTAAGCCATACTCACAAGATAGTCATGGTCCATTGATGAAGGGTCACTTTCTAAACAGAGTTAATGTTAAAAAATAGATATGCTAGAATTAGCTTTAACAATGCCACATTTAAACATTTTTTATATATTTATATATATACTGTACCTTCTGGATCAATAGGAAATGGAAGACTGCCATTAAAACATTCAAGGCTGTCTAAAATACGCTCAGTCACCAAGCAATGTACACATGCTGGATTGTCAGCCAATAGTTCTATCATTTAGTAAATTAAGAAAAAAATGGTTAATAGTTCCTAAAGTATATGCTAATAATTAATGTTTTAATGAGAGTATATTTGAATAGGATAAAAGTTAAGAGTTTATAATGGTTTGTCATAATTTTATTCCCTGGATCTGAACTATTTGCTCATATTCGTTCAACAAGTGAGCTCTTCAAAAAGTAAATTATATTTCACTAATCCATGCCAATGAAACATTTAATAGATGTGTTTGAAGTTCAAACCTGAGATCAAACTTTCACTTCACCCAAACAACTTCATAACTACATACTAATAAGTGGCACTAAGTTGTAAGGGTATTTAGAGTCAATTTCAGGTCACTTTCAATCACGTCAGACCAAATAAGCACTTACGTTGATTGTAATGTTCTTTAATACTGATGTGAAGTGAGTTTATTATTTTACTCCTGGCAGGATTACATGAACATTGATACACCCAATT